GTAAATATTACAATGCAAACGTATACCGCAGAAGCTAAAGTCTACGGTCTTCAACCAGTGTGTCCTGTCAGTATTCACCTATGGCATGGAAACAACGACTCTGACGAAGAAGTCCGCAGAGAACTTACGAGTTTCACAGAGAGCAATGGAGAGAACAATGTTAGGAGTAACAATGCTCGATCGCATACCGAATGAGATAACGACGGATAACCAAGGTCGGGGACGTTGTATTGATATGATAAAATGGAAATGGACAAGACACATAGCTAAGACGGATCGAGATCGGTGAACTAGGAGAATCATGGAGTGGCGACCATAGGCCACCGTGCGCGGCAGAGGTCGTCCGCCGCTTCGTTGGGTGGGTGAAGTCAAAATTTTCGCGGGCCGCAGCTGGATGCATATGGCAAGGGAGCGACATAAATGGAGAAATATGGAGAGGCTTATATCCCAAGAAGGGTGGAGTAGTGGTAGATAGGCCTCTCCCAATGTGCGCCAATTCTCCTGGTCCTCAGTTTAAAGCATCCATGTGCTGCCAGCAACCTTACGCAGACCGTCACTCCATCTGACCAAAAGCCGTCCAACACTACGTTTGCCGAGCCATAGTCTCCAGAACTCCTTTCCCCCATATCGGTTATCGATTTCAAAAGGTATGGCCAGCCCACTGTCACATCAAGTTACTTATTCTTACCAGCTATGTCGACGACTTTAGTTCTTTATCAGGAAGTTTTTTCTTGCAGGTGTTTTTTATACCACGTGACGGGACGAACACCTGGTGGTAAGTGACTCGCCTATCCATAACAGTTGCAGTGCCACTCAGAGTTTTAAATGTCCCAGCAATTTCGCCAGCACCCTTACCCTTACAAAATCGTAACACAGTAATAGTGACATTACTAGTTAGCGGCAGCAATAGTTAGGGCTATTGGCGACCTCCACCGTTATATTCTTTGCCGTTCTTTTGGCCATTAAATTTTACTACTACTAAACTCATTAATTTACTTCTTTATTATTATGTTTGGAACATCACCTAACCCGCTAACCTCACCCGCTAGTTTTGTCGTTGTGAGTTTAGTTATAAAATAACTGTTTATTATCAAATTTGTAATGTCCAATATTAAAAGAAATACTATCAAATTTTAAAATAATAATATGTAAGATAACATTCGTGACACTGACGATAACGCACTGTATATTTGTCTTCCTGATTAGACAAGGCCAAAGTCTAGTTTGGCTGTTTGTTTTAGTTATATCTATAGTCTGGCTTACAGCCAATCGTTTCGAGCACTCTCAAGCCCTGCCTACTGCATCAAGCAGTATAAAAAAACTGATGGCAAAATCAGTTGATAAGATCCCTGCATGGGATATGGTTTGAACGAGAATTTGTCGCACCTCAAGATAAGTTAATAATGTTCCTTAAGAGTTGGTAGCACCTCAAATGGGCTTTGGTTGATTTTGCATAACAGTGCAAGTGTTGAATCAATCTTTTTGGAAAAAATAAGAGTTAAATTGAGGATATGCACTGATCAGTATACGGTAGAAAAGAAACGCAAACTTATCTCGAAATTTTACAAGTAAACCGCTGTATTCTGAAGGTACTTTACATATAACCAATGATATTTTATATATCAACTTAACTAAATAGACCACATTTATAGTATACAATTAGCACTTTATAATATGGTTTTAATTTCGCTTGTAAAAAAAATAAATTCTGAAATTACGCCAATGTCCCTGACGCTCGAGCCGCGCTATAGAACAGATTTAGTATGGGAAAAATTAGAATTCAAGCTGAGCTAGTATTGACTCTGAAAGCGAATGAGATTCTTTCCATCTCCGAAGCCAATGTTGTCATCAACCCGCTCACGCGATACATGCAACCGTAGACGCAAACCATACCTAGAGGTGCCGTTGATGATTTTATACCGATTTATCGGATATCGAAGTTATAACAGGTAAAAAAACTAATATTAATTGCTATTTCGGTAACTACTCTAGCAAACCATAAAGTTTGTAATGCCTGGGTCTGTCATTTAAAAAAAATAAACAACTTCAAAAATACGTCACGACAATCGTGTGTGTTATTGTTTGGGCTGGTGATTTCGGTGTTTTTTTATTGAAAACATACCGTAAGTAGCGTTTTTTGAGTTTACCCTGAATATAAATGTTTATAAACTATACTTTAAGGAGTAATTTCATGGTAAACGTTAGAACCACTCAAATGGAATATTATCTTATTTATCCAAGTACACCAAAAATGTCATTAGTGCTTTTTAAGTTCAGGATTTGCGGTGTATTACTGCATTTTATTTGAGATGTTTTTGTTGGTAGTACGGAGGGTATTTATTTAGCAATGCAGAATAATAATTTTTATTTGTAAAAACTTGTATTTAAACTGAATGCTTTTCTAATTTGCGAAACCAAATAGCCGCCATTTTGCGGTAGGAGGAGCGCATCGCGTGAGCGGCTAATGGAGACATCTTATATACCAATATAATACCATGAGTAACTGTCAGGGATCTAAGAACCTAACCTAACATTAAGAACAAAATTTAGCCATAAACTGCTGATGGCCTTCGCTGTAACAACGGACAAAAGACGCTGTTACAGCTGTGCTGACATTTGTAAACAGAAAGTGAGAGACGATATAATCTTTATTTCATGGTTGACCATGAAATAATCTTAAGCAAATTACAGATGTGATAAACAAGCGGTTACGTATAAAGCAATAAAATAAAGAAACACTCACTCAACGCCGAGTACATTATCTGGAATCCCACACCCATTTTGAAGATTTAAGCAGTGGAAATCGCTTAAATTTCTTCAATGGAGCCTTCGTTGATCAGAAATCTGTCAGTTTTATCCACCGGGTAGCCTGAAAAAATGTCAGAAATCTTAATTAAAATGGGATCAGTGATAAACGCATTCTTTTGCAGCATAAAATATGGATTTTTGGATGGATTGATGGATTGAATGGATTTTTCATCACACTTGCACTTAAATAGTATTATTGCATGCAAGCTAACTTGACTATACTGCCCCAAGTAATCTCGGGCCTTTTTTCTTCTCATTACCGACTATGGCCGTATTGAAAAGTAAAAGGGCCGAGGGTTTTATTTGGGGCATTATAGTCAAGTTAGTCGGCGTGTAATCATACTATTTTGACGAAAAACATTGTATGTTTCACAGGCGGTTCGGGGATTACGAACCTCAACTCCGAAAGCCTTCGACTTTGGACTTCTAATAGTCTTGTTCGTAATTCGTTATTTACCGCTTTTAATACACAAGTTGACTATGACGTTGCGAAACAAGCTCTAAATGCAAATGTACTAAAACCAGTGCTGATTATTTTCTACCGCTCAGTGAATTCGGAGACTATCCGCCATACATAAATAATTTTTTATGAATATTTTTAAAATGTTTGTTATGTTATGAAGGAGGTTGTTAATTCGACTGTATTTTTTTCTTTTTTTTTCTATGTGTATGTTACACGATTTTGTGGACATTTGAGGACCGCTTTCGACAATGTTTCACCTCTAAAAGTGGGAAATTAAGGTATGAATGGTTTATTAGGTTTCATTAAAACTTGGCGAATAGACGTACTTCCACAAACTTTTGAGGTAGCTTTTCTTTTTATAAAATAGCTATTATTATTGTCATCGATTTTTGATATCCATTTAAGTAAAAATTTCTCAAATTCACACAGATTCAGATTCAGATTCATTTATTTCTCAAATATAACATTACAATATAAATTGTACTACATGTCAAAGTATAAGAAATTATATTGAGATCGTCAGACAAAAAGGAAAATTATAAGAAAAGCACACATTAATTAGAAAATTAACAATTCATTATATAATATTGTTGTCATTAAATTATATATCAAATATCATTCTCCATCAAGGATCGTCATAAGTTGATAACAATTATACAAGAGTATGTTAATGCGGTAAAAATTAGAATAAAAATAGAAAATACTGAATTCGTTACAATTTAAAGTCCATAAATTCTTTTATGGAGTATATAGGATTTTTCAAGAAAAGGTCTTTCAGCCGGCGCCCAAATATTTCGTCAGACGGTTCAAGTCTGAGAGTAGCGGGTAAACGCTCATAGTAAGTAGGTCCGATGACACGCGGGTTAGCATACACAAACATGTACATCTCACACGCACTCATTTTTTATTTACCACATATTTTTATTCTTTTTTCCGGTTATGTAATTTGTTTCTATTATACTCATAAATATTGATTAAATCTTCAGGAGTAGGAGGTCCGGTGACCTAAAACAGAGGGTATTCCAGCCTCTACGAATTCTCCCGTATGAACTGCTTTTATGCCATTTAAATTGTTGCAAATTTGTGGAGGAAATAAAGAATTCACTTACTTACTTGCTTAAAAACAGAGATTTTGTTGTTTAACTCAAGTTCGAAACTTCGCGAATGCCAAATTTTGAACATCGACACTGTGATCTTATTTATAGAAGCACACCTATCGCCCTTTAAATGTTTTTCTGACTTTGTGCGAGACGATTGTCAAGAGCGTCCAGTTTATTTTTATTCATTGTATTGAGATACAACCACGTAACGGCGGCCACATGCCGCGCCTCCGAGTGTATTTTAACGTGTGCGTAATTTAGTGGCGTACAATCTGTTTTTAGTCTTAACTGCAGACGCACATCGTTTACAATTTATATCAGTCCTACTGTATAGTATTTAGATCATATGTTGTGTAAAGAAATTAAACACAAGCCAGACATATTTTCAATATGTTTTATTATTCTTCATCTAGCTCAGTTATATGTGGAACACATAAGTCTGTCTCTTTAACCCTTATGCTCTTTAAAATTAAGAATTTAATTCAACATTTTAAAATATTCTTATTGTATAATATATAATTGGTAAATATTACTGACTTGAAAACAATAATAGTATGCCTATACAGGTCTGGTTAAAATTTTACCATCTTCTTTGATCGGCTTGAATGTCTCTTATTCAAATTGACCAGAAAATATAGAAATTTAAATAATAAAATAGTGATAGTGGGTGATTTCAATATTAACCTTTTCCAAAAGGATAACCTTACGCCACGTTTCCTGGAAATCCTTAGCATACATAAATTCAGATGCAGAGTTACTAAAGCTACACGAATTACATTGCATTCTCAGATTTGTATTGATAACATTGTTACAAATTTCAGTAAATGTAAAGCAGAAGTATTAAATCTGGGTATTTCCGATCATACGGCACAAATGCTGCAATTTCCTTGTTCCGCTAGCTTTTCTGTCAGACATTGGTATATTTATAGAAGAAAAATTGATAATTACATTGACATATTTATGAAACATATATCTCAAATCAAGTTCCATGAGGTATTTGAGCAAACTCATCCCAATGAGGCATATGTATTTATTGATATATTCAAAACTGTATACGATTTGTGTTTTCCGATAGAAAAATGTAAAGTGACCTTCAGAAAGGAAACACATTGGAAAACAAAAGGTATTAAAATTTCTAGCAAACGCAAGCGTCAACTTTTCGTTGAATTCCAAATATATAGGTCCGATTCTACTATTTCACATTACAATAAATATAAAAAAATACTTAGATCCACTATACGACATTCTAAACGCAAAACGAACATAAATTACATAACCAAAAGTACAAATAAAACTAAAGACACTTGGAATACAATTAAACAGAATACTACAACTACAAACGAAATACCAACAACCATTAAAAATTTACAAACCGATCAAGGAAATATGACTGACCCTTCACAAATAGCTGAACATTTAAATAGACATTATATTACACGAAGTTTTCATTCCAATTTTGTTAATAATTACAAATCTATCCAAGATCATGAAAGTAAGAGTGTATATTTGAATCCAGTTGATGAACAGGAAGTTCGACATATAATTAAAACTATTAAAAGTAAACAAAGTTGTGGTGACGATGGTATTTCAATGCAAGTGATAAAGACTAGTGTTGACATTATTATATTGCCGCTAGTACATATAATTAATTTAATGCTACAAACAGGCTACTTTCCTGATGAAATGAAGATATCATTAATAAAACCTTTACATAAAAAAGGTTCCAAAGAAGTCTCAGAAAATTACAGGCCTATAGCTCTTCTTCCGAATTTCTCTAAAATATTTGAGAAGGTTATCTATAAAAGAATAACAAACTTTTTAGATAAACGTAACATATTTAGTCAGTTTCAATTTGGATTTCGTAAAATGAGATCAACATCTCTATCCATTTTTACATTTCTACATAGTTTGTGGAAAGCTATAAATCTTAAAAAGGACAGTATTGCACTTTTCTTAGACATGACAAAAGCGTTCGACTGTGTTATACACTCTATCTTGCTAAAACAACTTGGCAAATGTGGTATTCGAGGCGTAGCAAATGACTTAATACGTAGTTACCTATCGGAACATAAACAAACACTATGTCTGACCGTATTTAGCAATAAATGCGTGCAAGAGGCAAGATCGACATACTTAAGAAATATATTGGGAGTGCCACAGGGAAGTGTACTGGGTCCTCTTCTCTTTATTATATATATAAATGAACTGCCACATCTTACTCGGTCTTATGCACGCTGTATACCTATCATGTTCGTTGATGATGTCACAATATTATTTACTAATAACGGAAAAACAAAAATTGACTGCGAATTTGACATAAACGGTCAAATTCGCATTCAATAGACATTGAACGGTCTTATTGCCTGGCTTAAATTAAATTAAATCACTAAATTTAAAAATAAATAATTCTAAAACAAAATATATGCACTTTGGTAATTATTAATTTTATTTTTATATTTAATTATATTACACAATTAATTATATTACACATAACTTCTGAAAATGACGTTATTGATGAGGTAAACAACACTAAATTTCTTGGTATTACTATAGATAAAAATTTAAATTGGAAACATCACATAGATGTGCTAAATGACAAGCTTGGTAGTTATTGCTACGCTTTATCTGTATTGGTCGATGAAGATGCGTCGGTTGAAGTTCCAAAAAACGCATATTACGGGAACGTATACCCGTTATTAATGTATGGTGTAATTTTTTGGGGAAACTCTGTCTATGCGGTTAAAATATTCACAATACAAAAACGATGCTTACGCATAATCTATAATAAACCCAGTGACTATTCTCTAAGAAGTCTGTACAAAGAAAAGGGTTTCCTGACTTTAACAGGAATATATATTTTGGAAATATGTCTTTTTGTACGTAATCACAGTAACTTCTTTACTAATATATCTAATATACACTCCGTTAACGTCAGAAACAAGGACCGTCTTGTCCTCCCTAAAATAAACAGGACAATCTTCGACTGAAGCACCTATGTAACAGTGATTAGAATTTATAACAGACTTCCAATGGAAATGAATGTTTAAATGGTGATAAATTTAAAGCTTGTTTAAAAAAATGGTTAATTGATAGTTTTTTACAATCTTAACGACTTTTATATAAAGGCATCAAATATTTGACAATTGTATAACTAACTTACTTATAATTTTAATTTTGACATTTAAGTTGTAATAAATTTTAATTGAATTGTAATTTTAAGACATTGTACGCCTGATTTGGGTAAGAATTGTAGATCTATTCTAATCACTAGTAAGTAACACCAGTATTTTACCAATTCATACAATAAATGTTTCTGATTTCTGATTAATGTTTGTAAAAATATTAAATTTCCTTTTCATCGTTTTCTTGTGTTTTTAACAATTTGTTTTTGGTTCTAGTGGCTTTTTTTGCCATAACGCTACTTGTGAGAAAACTATGTGTAAGTTTTTTTTTTCACATCGAATTAATTTTTCTAAAGATGAAAAAACACTTTACTTGTTTACTTT